GTGACACAACGCCAAATCGACACCGTGTTTCAGTGGTACATGACAAATTATTGTATTCGTACTATAACGAAAATAAAAGACAAATTTCAGTACAATTACTAATAAAGATGTATTTTCCCTTTACAAGTTATCATAGCGTAATTCATATAAAATCGTTTAGTAAATAACGTATAGTACATATACTACATATACGATAGCGAAAAAGTACGTCACCAATTGTAGGTTAAAAAGTTTTATACAAATTGGGATAAATTGTAGTCAAACGCTATTATTAACTATAACGATGCATTATACCTCAACTAGGATCTAACATATTACACAAAATTTCTTTGCAATTACTTCAATTAACATCCAATCGAAACCAGTTAAACTTGTTCCATTCTAACATCTAGCTAAACTACAAAAATTCGTATTAAACAATCCTCCATCGTGTCGTGCAAACACGAGACTATCCAAGAATGCAAAGAAACCTAGAAAACAACCGGTCAACCAATCGATCTCTTCGTTGTCGTCCCGTATTGAGGATGAACTGAAACGAAATCTCGACTTTTCGAACGGATCCAGCATTGCCAAAGGCTGTATCTCTATTCTCATCCCCATGGCGTTTGCAGTATGATCGATATAAGAGTAACAAACGAAAACAAGGCCTGGACGCAACATAGACGCGTTGTTTCGAATTCCCCATGGGGATCTGATTGCAAACGAATGCGGCGGGGGTTACAGTCTCCCTTCATAGACGATTAATCCAGTTTACTCGCAGACGTTGCCTCGGTATGGGGTTCCTGTAAGCCGAGAATCCGCACAAACGTCCCTCCCGCGCTTAAATATATTCAATTACGTGGCTCGGCCCTGGACGGACTCTCTTCTCTCGGCTTTCCTTCTTTTTTCCCTTTCTTTACACCCGGCTATGTCGTTTTCGGCCGCGGCTTTGCTTTCCTCCACCCCCGTCGCTGCCTTTCAACCCCTTTCGGTAACTGGAGGATTCGCGCGTCACTGTTTTATTGATGAACTCAAGCCAGTGCTCGTACGTGTCTTTGGATACTGCCTGTTTGGCGTGGTTATAGCATGTCCAAGTGGAAATTTGGCGAATCGAGTACGCGTGCTCTATCAAATACTTGCACTCCTAAAGCAAACTCAGGCTTGCTTCTGGATTATATAGAAATTTTTGAACGGGGAAGGTTAATCGGTATGCGGTACGGGTTGTAGGTACCCTCTAATTATGTTCATTATGGGATTTACTCGGAGATAAAAGTTTTATTCCATCAGAAAAATCGCGCAAGTCACTGCAAACTAGAGGATAGGTAGGTCATGGCATAGATCTTCAATGGATATTATGTAACTGTTACACGGTACACGTTTGTAAGTCAATCCGAATGCAGTCTTGAGACTGTTATTTCAATAGCCACGTCAGGCATTAAATCTCCCAATGCCTTCAATTCCTCTAATCGTTCGAAACATCAGCTAGAACCTGAATTATTCAAAAACATCGAAATTTCAAATTACCAGAAGGCTGTTCGATGATCGCACTCGCCGTTCCTTAACCTAGTTCCTCCGGCTACTGTCATCCCTATCAATCCTATCAATTCTAACCTACCTCCAGCGGCTAGTCCACTCGCAAAAGGTCAAGGATACCCTGTCACGGCGATTTATTCTGCATCTATCGCGGACCCCAGAAGTTCTCGCGTCGCGGTGCTCTCTGCCTGGTATATACCCCCGGTACCCTGGCGCAAACACATCGGTACGGAGAGTAGCAGCGGAATAACGGAGAAAAATGAGCGTAAAGAAGAGGCCAGAGCCGAAGACAAAGATGGAGGGAGGGTAAAAACGGCGCATGGGAGAAAGAGAGGGAGACAGAGAGAAAGGTGGAGGGAAAAAAGGAGAGTTAAGCCTGCAGGCTGCAGGCAAAGGTATCGGGCACTGGCAAAGCGAAAGCAGAAGGGAGACAGGCATCTCGCCCTTCTTTTGTCCCTGGGCCTCGGTCCGATATTGAAATGGAGTCGTTTGAGTGTGAATAATTTGCTTTAGTCGGGCTACCCCTCCGCCTGCCTCTACCACTCGCTATCCTTCCCTTCTCTTCTATGCCCCTCTCTCTTCTCTGCCAGCCTCTCGCTCCCCCTCTCTCTCTCTCTCTCTCTTTTCTCTCTTACGAGATCGCCCTTCGACATTGCCACATTCCGCGAGTCACGGTTACCGATTCGTACTTTCTGCCGATTTTATGTTAAATCTCCGCAGGAAATTCGGCATTCTGGTAAGGATCAGCGTTAGAGGGTTGCCAGATGGTGGAAAAGGAGAAGCAAAGTTGCTTTTACTAGCATTTCTTGCTCCGTCATATTGTTTTCTTAATTCGTGGTTTGACTCGTACCTTCTTTTTTATTTTGGATAATAGAATATTAAATTCCAGGTCTTTTTTAGCTTATGATTGTTCTAAATAATGGTAATTTTGATTTGGTTTGCAGGTTATTTATCGTCAGAGGAGAAATTATTAATTTGGACCTTCTCGATATAAATCGTCTATGAAAAGTAACGCGAATTGCATAAATATGAGAAAATTTAATTAGGTATCGAGTGGAATGTTAATATTCTTTATTTTTTCTACTGTTAGCGAATAATTTGTGACAGTGCGTAGAGGCAAGAGGTTTTTCCGGTTACTCTTTGTATTTCAAAATGCTGCCATCGCGTTTCGAATACGTAATTAATGTACTTAATTCATAATGAAGCACGAGCGTATATAACGATATTCTTTTACAATGAATTTTTGAATAATTTGTTCTACATTTTAAACGTTAAATTACAAGTATTTTTAAGAAGTTTTCATTCCAAGCTTTCCCCTATGTAAAATCTAAACTACTAAAAACAGGGTGATATTTATCGATGATCTATAATATTATTAAACTTTCTCGCTAATGGAAATAATTATTCGATGTATCTAATTTCGCTGACATATGCTTGTAACTGGATATCTGTAACACCATACCATATATTTTTGGTGAGGTATCAAATTTTTGCCACTTCGAACTTCCTCAACCTCCCCATATTTAATTTCTGTGTTCGTCGCTACGTCTTCCTGCATAAACAACATTAAAACACCTCGCGAATGGATACATTTCTAAATTTCGTACACCTACAGAGAGTTTGTTACATTGTAATTATACACGTATCGCTTTGACATGTAAAAATGTCAAAAGGAAAGATCGAAAGTTAGATTTGATTTACAACCGAGCAAAATCAATATAGGTAAATTAAATCGAATAGAATTTATTTTATTCCTACCCTATCTTACGATACAAATAATTAAAATTGTCCGAATACGGTGAAAGAAAATGTTCACAAAGATTCCAACTTACATACCGACAATTCCAAATAAGCAAAATTATTTTGAAAAGATTACAGCAAAACCGGCTAACCTACAACCAGTTTCGATTTCCAATTGTTTCATAAGAACTCGCCATGGACATTAGTATACTTGAAAATTCCACCAACCTTCGTCTTTATCGACTCAACTATACAACCAGACTTAATGAACCTACTACATGACTAAAAAGATCGAAAACGACGAAAGAGAAACAAAAATTCTGTTTTTCCGATTTCGTAACAGCTCGACCTTAATCCTAAAAAAAAATATCGATTAAAAATCCGCTCGTGTTCGAATTTTGTGCGTCGAATTTCACGGCACCCGGGGTCCCGTCGGGCATCAGATTCTTTCGCGAACTGTCGCGTGAATCATTCGTAGACAGAATTGTATCTGTCATTATAAATTCCGAAGGATGATCGCACGCTCGACCCTGATATCACCGTGCACGTCCGCACCATCCTTCTTTTCACTGATGCTGCCCGAGGATCGAGTACACCGCTGAATTTATTAGCGCGAAAATCATAGTCACGCGTTCTGCGTGCGAAGAATCAATTAAAATGGCGGCTATAGCACCGAAGCGTCCGGGCGCGCGCGCGCGCGCGAGCACGCTCTGCGATCCGTCGCAACGCGGCGTCCGGTTTAAAATTAAATCGACGTAATCGCCACATAATCGATAAGGACTTGCTATACACACGAATTGTACGCACAATCCGTGATTCGGCGTAATCGTTGCTCGTTTGTCCACGCACGAGAATCGGCCATGGACGATGGATGACGAATCTAGATTCAGATGACGATTCGTGGAATGGTAATGAAGGGATTAGAAATTTGTAACAGTACGAGGTTTGACGTATCTTTGAAATTGCTTGTTTTGGAATCGTTGTAACGTTGGCACGGTTAGAATATTTAGGCTTTTAGTGATTGCTGTGAAGTGATTATATTTCGAAGTATGATTGGGTACTTCGAGATGTTTTTCGAGTAACCACTATCCGTGAAATATCCTATTTTGATTACGCGATTGCTGGAAATTTGCGTCATAGCGAGGAAAGATTTCAAAATTTTCCTATTATTATACTAGATCTTAGTTTTGAAAAATTTCTTAAGACTTTGAATGATCTTTGGGTGATTGCTCAGTGATTATGATGCGAAGCATAATTTCCAAAAACTTGCATAATGGCGATGAAAAATGTCAAAATCTTAGTTTTTGACAAATTTCATACTTAATTATTTTTCATATACTTCATATACTTTATGCATGTCAAATTATCTCATAACCCAAAGGCTCTGTTATCTAACTATTTCAAAGAATCGTGAGGAATTATCCGAGGAACTATTCTAAATTCTATTTACTCTCTATTCGTTTTCTTGGAAGGATAGAAAGGAAGGTAACGATATTCTCAGAGGCGACAAGATTCAAATCGATGAAGTGTTCTTTGTCCAGTACGTGTCTTGAAGCGCCGAAAAAAGCGAAGGTGAGTTGCGACCGGATGGTGAGCCAACAATGATCGAGGATTCATCAGTGTTTTAGGAGGTCAATGTCACTTGACAGCCGACAGACCGACATGGATCCTCTTAAACATGCAGACCACATACGAGACTCAGTGTATATAATCCAGCTGGTGGAGTTCGGAAATCAGTCAACTCCACAACTCAATCCAATAACATACTAGCACAACAATGAAGGTAGTTCTTCGCGTGTTATCTTAAAGACAAAATCATCTCAGTGATCCAATATTAAGTTCTTCGAATAGAACAGAAGTGTTACTAACGATAATATTCTAGTTGTTAAACATAATCGGAGTAGAAGAAAATTGACTAACGATCAGTATTTTAATTTCTAAGACGCTTCGGTAACGTCAATTTCGATATAATTAACAATAAAATTAATAAAATACAACGATCGACTAACGATACGGATTAAATTTCCAAGCGAATAACACAGAATACAAGATATATCTTTCTTTTGCAATGCTAACTTAGTGTTCAGGCGAATCGAATAGAAGAGAGTAGGCTAACAAAACGGAATTTCGACCAAGCGAATTAAAATTATTTCGACTACTAGATTGACTAAACAAAAACCAACAAAGACTGAACTAACGCGATTAGGAACAATTCTATCATTAAACCAATCAATTGAACATAATTGAAACGCACATAAACGTTGATAATTTGCAAGAAATGTAAGAAAATGCACCGTTAATTCAATGTTTCACTTTCAAAAACAGGCATTCGTCGCTTTTGCTCTCCTGATCGCCGCGGTCGTCGCAGAACCACCAAGATATCGTCCGCAGCAAAGACAATTCTTCTTCGCTAGACAACAAGAAGATCCCAACACTGCCAATGCACCCTATCCAGCTTCCAATTGGAGACCATCTGGACCGGCCTTCAATCTTCCCCAACGAGAACCTAACAGGCAATACGGACAACCTAGTGCGCCACAGCAGCAATATGGCGGACCTGCTACTCCACAGCAACAATATGGAACACCTAATGCACCTCAGCAGCAATATGGCACACCTGCCAATCCACAACAACAATATGGAACACCCAGTGAACCTCAACAGCAATACGGAACACCCAGTGTACCCCAACAGCAATATGGACCAGCACAGGAAGCTACCACCACCCAAGTGCCCACCACCACGGAAGTGGAAGACTTTACTACCGTACCTAGTGTCACTGAGTCCGAGGTAAGAGAATTTTCTTCGGTGTTACAAACACCCGGTACTTAGCTATTTAAGCAGTCAGAAATTAATATTATAGTTTACGTAACCGAGTATCGAGTATCATTCATAGTTAATCGAGAGCAAAGAACAGAAGTTCTGAGAGGATTGGATGAGAGAAAGACAGTTAAAATTCGACCTTGCTAGTAAACCTTGCTAGTAATTTTGCTGTTTCATTTTTCCAAATTAGAAGAAAATTTCAAAGGTAGATTAAAATTGCTTATCTGAAAGTGTCTCACAGGATGTATTCTAATATCAGTCTATACATTATCTTACTAAAACAACCAAAGATCGCTACTATGAGCTAGGTCTAACTTTCAATCAAAAGAGAATCAAAATTCACTCACGAACATTAACAAAGATCCGAGAGATAAGATTCTCAAATTTTTAAACTTCCACTAAGAATGGAGAGAAATGCAAATATGATAATAAATTTTTCACTCATCCCATGACCATATACCTCCAAAGGGGCGAACCAAAAAGGCGTGGAAAAGACGGAAAAAGGAAGGGAAAAGAGGGAAGCTTGAATTTCATCGACGTCGAAACACCGTGTTACGTATTATCAGGCTTGTTATCGTCTTATTTGCTACAACGGAGGAGAAGAAAGGAGGATCGTGAGAGTGCAGGCCCGTTTGGCACGGGGCTGCACCGGAGCAGCGCGAGGTTTCCACGGAATTTTAAATCGCGCCAGGGAATCGTCCGCTCCCGTTTTTCCCCCTGTTCCCTTCTATCTTCTTTCAGTCCTGCTCTCCTTTTTCGGCCGTCTTAACGACATTAGTATTCGAGTCGTCGTTTACTTTCGATCGCTGTGCAGGCACGCGTGTGCCCCTACCAAATTCAAAGGCGGCGTGACACAATCCGTGATGCAGTGATCCGTGATTTCAGTCCCTGGGATCGTTCTCGTTACCTTCCTTTCGGGCTTAACTGGAAAATTTCGACGATGACTTAATTGCTTTCCTTTGGTCCCTCTTGTTCTTCGACTCCACGTCTTCCACGTGGGTCGGCCCAGTGACTTGGGCAGTGTAAAGACAGTAGCAAAAGCTTCTTAGCTATCACATCAATTCACAATTGCTCTCAATTATCAGTATCTAACTTGGACATACGTGTTCTACGACATGTCGAATAATCCAGAACCTAATCTTCATTATAATATTAGAAAAAATTACTTCATATTTTCTACTCTCCAAGCTATCGGTAAAAGTTTCTTAGCTGTTACATAGTGTTACAGTTGCTTTCAATTACGAGTACTTAACTTGGAAGCACATATTCTATGACATGTCAAATAGTCCTGGAGCTAATCTCGATTGGAATATTAGTAAAAATTACTTCATATTTTTCTACTCTCCAAGTTATCGACAAGAGCTTCTTAGCTATTACATTCTTCTACCAGTACCTAATTTGGAGATACATTTTCTACGATCTGCCAAATAATTCTGAACCTGTAGAACAATCTTGATCGCAGTATTAGCAAAAATTATTTCATATTTTCCACTCTCCGAGCTATCAGCAAAAGTTTCTTAGCTACTACATCCATTTACAGTTGCTCTGAATTGGCAGTACCTCATTTACTCTAAATCTTCAGACTAATCTTGATCGTATTATCAAAAATTGCTTCATACAATTCATTATCAGAGTCATATTTAAGCGACTATAATTCACCTGTAATTCTATTTCTATCTTTCTGTCCACCAGTCCGAGCCCGTCAACTCTGTGAACGAGCTCGAAGACGAAGACACCGATGAGCATCAACCCCAGCAGTCTGGCGAGTACTATGTGGCCTTACCCGATGGCCGTCTTCAACGTGTTCGCTATGTCAGCCGACAAAATATCGAGGCCATGAAGTACTTCGCTAAGATCCGCGCTGAAAACGTGGAACCTCTTCGTGGACCGATCTACGCGTACGCTCCTCTACAGAAATTGCAAGTCGTGCCAGCTGGACTCCAGGTGTCCGTTGCTCCAGTTGCACCGATCGCTGCAGTCGAATCGAAACCGCAAAAACTCGAGATCCAACCCGTGGCCACGCAAGTGCAGTACCAGTATGACAATCCAGCTGGAGTACTTCCGTTGTCGTCTGGTTCCTCTTACGCCACTTACCAAGTACCCGCCAGCGAGTCTAGATACCTCTTAACCTTGCCTTAGGTCAGAGGGAACCCGGTGTGTGTGTGTGTATCCGACTATAACTATAGTTCGTAAAGTGTAACTCTGTATTGTAATTCTGACGAGGATCTTGGGCTATCCTAATTCCGGATTAACTGCAAGGCGGATTGTATATGTTGTAGATAGCAGAATATGAATTGTATTGTAAGTTAGGGTGCAAGTAACAATAAAGACGATAATAACGAGCAATGGGTGTCTGTCATTTCTTCTAAATCCGAATCTTAGTTGCTAGTCTTGAGACTTGGGCCAAGAATCATCTTCGATAATCACGAAGTTTAGTTTGCGATTGGAATAGTTAATTGTCAAACCATTATCGAATAATAAATATTTAAAGTAGGCGAAATTAAATTTGCTATTTTTCGTACACACTCTCACAGTGGATTAACAATGTTCGATCGCTTCCTGTTCTGTTATTACTGATATTTCCTTATTACGAGTTAGTAGTTCTCATATGTAAATGAAAAATTGTAACTAATATAACAAATATGGATTACGATCTATTACCTGTATTCAACTAAGAAGAATAAAAATATTATATCATCTACTCTTACGTTTTCTAAAATTCCCCTAAATAAAATCTCTTACGATTACTCGAACTGTCGATAGTTAGTTCGATCGTTTCCTGTAGCGTTGTTAATTATCACACGAAAATGAAAAATTGTAACTAATATAACAAATATGGATTACGATCTATTACCAGTATTCAACTGAGAAGAATAAAAATATTATACTGTCTACTATTACGTTTTCGAAAATTCCTCTACATAAAATCTCATCTAACTATTCGAACTGTAAACAACTATATCACGATTATCATCTTTCTTTCTCGCGTCAGAAAGAAAATCGGCTACCATCAGCTACGACTGCCGAGGAGGAAGATCAATTAGAAACAGCCATCAGCCACGAAAGTGGCGAATCAAACGAACCGCCTTTGTTCCAGCCACGTTACACGCATAGGTAAGAAGGATGCAGAGAGGTATCGAGACGGTAATGGGAGAAATCCTGTGAAAGAATTTTCTTAGCCACGGCACGTGGACGCGAGCACAGAAACGCGGATGTGTTGGTGGCAGACCCGTCAGCATGTAGACGCGCCTAACCGCAAAATTCCAGAAATTTAATATCTCGCTCGACTCTACCGGGGTTGGCCGTTTCATAAGTTCACTCCGACACAGCCAATCCCTCGTCAGGATCCTCCTGAAATTCTACAGCCACGTTCCAACCTACCAAAATGCTCTCCCTTTCTCCTCGTCCCGTGCTTTTCATCATATCCCGCAACCACTGCGGCCAGTTTTCTTCTTCCTCCTCATCCTCCTCATCCTCCTCACCCTCCTCACCCTCCTCACCCTCCACCACGTCCTGGCCGCGATAAAATTGGAAAAAGAAAGGAGAGAGCCGGTTTGCGTTGTTCGTTTCACAATGGCAATATATTGCTCTTGGTCTGTTGGATTCGAGTATTTATTAAGAATTCGTTACTCCATTCGTTCATTTATTTGGTAATGATTAATGGTGCAATTATTGATAGTTTGCTCGATGGACGTTTCATGTAATAGATATCGTTGAATCCATGACATTTGCTCTTCTGGGAGTTAGAAAAACTTTTAATATTTATGCATCTATTGATGTTGATTCTTGATATGTAATTGACGACTGGTGGAATATTATTATTGCAAAATTATTGCAAAATAATTGTCGTAAATATAACAGAACACACGGAACTAACAAATGGAAGTTAACTATACAATATGACTTTGTATAATGTAATCTTGACAGTCGCGACTTTCACCAGAACTTTCTCACTGTAACTAATATACCAATATGCCGTGTTACGAAATTCTGAAACAAGATGTCAACAAACGAAAACTAACGTCGATGATATAACATAACGTTATTTGATAATATGACTTTGAAATTTGAAACTTTTAACAGGAGTTTTTCATCCTTGCTGATACAACGATTTGGATAACATCGATATTAACGCTAGATTCACGGGTTTTTCTTGTATACCTATTTGAACGTGAACGAAATCAGACATTTCGCTCGAAAAACAACTTAGAAAACAACGTAATTATGCACTGTTAACTTATAAATGAAACTATGAGATTTATATGCGATTTGTAATAAATTCGGAATACGTCAAACTGATGCATCCCCATAAACCAGTCGATCAGTCCAGAGAGACGACATGCCAATATTTTATATGTGAAATTAAGCGAATTAAGTGATGCGCAGCTGTTGGTCTATTTTCTTGAGCTTCAGACACGACTCTTGCTCAGTTATTCTGAGCTTTTGAAAGAAGCTTTGGAATTCACCTTGTTCCACTGTTCCAAAGGAAGTTCCACGCAATCATTGGGTGCATGTAGTGTAAAGTCAGCCCTGATCTGATCGCGTGCAATCGTTGCATTCGGTATCTCGGCTCGTTGGACGGCTATTTATTTTCAAAATCGCTAACTGACGTCAACGATTCAGACACCTCTAACAGTACCCACTCCAGGGGCCGATCAATTAACCGCGTAGCATAAAAATCCCAAGATCTTCGTGGAACTTATTTTCAACGATTCGGCTCGAGACAATCCAGTCGATCCGGCTCTTCAACTTCTCCAACTCTTTCCGAACATTAAATACGGCTGTTGGTCGGAGAACAAAGAGATCTCGTGGACGGCGAGTGGCCTCAAGATTCGGCCGGCAGCTAGTTCGAAAACCGAATTTCGAACCGGCCAATTACTCTCCGGTCAAGCGGTCAAGACCAATTAAACTCTGGCCGATCTTAAAGACCTAGCCAAGCCAGTGGATAAGAGAGCCAGCCTGCGGTCGTTTGAAAGCTTCGCGAATTCCGGGCCAGGAGTTTCTTTGGATACTCCTAAACTCTCCTCTACCTTTCGAGAGATATCTATTCTCCGTGGGTTATCCGCGGGAACAAAGGGGAAACGGACGAAGCGGAAGCGAAAGAGAGACGGGAAGTTGCTTTGGAAAACAAAGTTTCCCGTCTGGTCCCCTTGGTACCCCGACTCCCCGCGTCAGAGACGTCTGCACTTGAGCTAACAGCCGGTGCACCGTCCTTCCCACGAGATATTAATTTTTCCGGAAGTAACCTCCGCCACTTTTCACTCTCCCCTGCACCGTGTCGCGATAATCTCTCTCTTTCTCTCGCGAGCGAGCTGGCTCTCTGTCTCTCTCCGTTTCACCCTCTCGACGGCGAGTTCCTCGCTTTTTCATCCGGAGGTGTTATTTTTAACGAAAAAAAAAAAGGGGAAAATAAAATAGTGGGAGGAAAGGAGGAAGGAAGGAGAGAAGGAAGAGGAAGCACGAGGCGAGAGCGAAAGTGTTGCGCGTTTAGGGGTGTCGCTTATTGTGCGGAGAATAATTGCGGGGAGAGGAGGTTTTAAATAACCGGTCGGTCTCTTCCGCGCGAAATTACTTCCGTGTTGCAAATTAAGCTCGAGGTCAGAGATTTTTCAGGTGTGTGATGAAATTTGTTGCGTGTCTGTGACTCATAGGTCGAACCGATCTTTCGAGGGATGCTTTTCTATCGAGGGTGGTGCGTTTCGTTCGATGCGATTTGCCCGATATATAATATTATAATTACCTGCACAGAAATCTGTTAACATATATTCGAAGTTAATTTGTTTCATTCATTTTAGTTCTATTAAGGACATCGCAATCCCTTAAAAATTATGGCAATCAAAGGAGCAAAAGTCGTTCGTGTAATATTTTTATCCACGCTATCCTTCCCCTACAGACCAAGTCCCCCTCATGATGATTATGTAAACTGTAATACTATACATTTTAGGTAAATTATTCTCAAGCAGATTAATCGTGTCGTTAAATCACCCCTGAAACAAAGGGAGAGATGGCATTGCAGCTGCATTGTCGATTACTATATTTGATCAGATAAATCGACCCTTGCATCGCGAACAACAATGTTCTACTGTGAAATTCAACACGCAAACATCCGGTGCGTACAGATGATTATCGGGACAGAAAACACAGCTACCATTGCAGTTACCTTCATGCGTAAATGAGAGGATGTTACGAACGTTGCATCACGTTTTTCTCTAATTTTTCAAATATTTCCACCGTCGAATTACATACTCGGTTTTTGATTCGAGTGAATTTTCATGGTACGTGGACTCTATCTTTACGAATCGCTAACATCATCGCGTTGACGAATATGTTAAAGTCATTTTATGGATAACCAAGTGATCTTACAATTAAAGAGATTTCTCTGAAAGCTGAGTCGGAGAAATGAAAAGCTCTATAGAAAGATACAATTGCGGAAAATGAGTACAGCAATGGTTAAACACCGAAAATAACTATTCTTCCAAATTTAGCACGTATAAACACCACCAGTTTAGAATATAGTCACCAGCCAATAAGTCACTGCCCAAACTGGAACCTCAAACTTCGTCCAACAACCTGCACTTTCCGACCCCGGATCTAACCTGAAACAAAAGAGTTCAGGAGGTTCCAGACGCGCCTCGTGACGCAACGACGA